ATTGCTTCGTCTTAGGACACCATTGCACATCATTCATAACATACTCTTGGGATTTCTTACAATGAGACTTATTTGATCAATTAATTCTGGTTGGTCGTTTAAAAGACTAGCCCACTTTGCTAGTGCACTTGTAGTTTATCGTTTGAGTTGTGTGTTTATTATTTATTGTTATCCCCATTCGAAAAATGTGTCCCCACTCCCATGCGTGTAATAATTTTATCGCTTTCTCTTTGTTTGCCTTTGTCTAGGTAGTCCCCTAATACAAGAATGAAATCAATCACCCTTTTCAAAAGATACAAATAAGCTTGATCCAACGTCAAGTTTTTTTCATAAATTCAAATCCAATAGGGTTTCCATCACCATCAACCCCTAAACCAATTACACTTTATTTTGCATTCACCCTTTGTAAGTTGATTGCCTTTTGCATTGCCATCAACCTTCCCATCAACCAAAACATTTTCTTAATCAACCAAACAAACCCTTGATCCAACATCAAGTGGATTTTTCTAAAGCAAATTCAAAACACAATAAGATGTGATTAGGATTGTGCACCACAAGCCATAAGTGGTGGAGAAGGAGTGGAAATGGAGCTTTCCTACACTCACTCTGATTATTTTGACACAAGACGTTTGACTTAGTAGCTCGAAATAATCATGTCTACCCATAGTCTTTAGTGCAATCCTAATGAAGAACAATCTCTTCTCAAAATCCTAAAAACAACACCAACTCACCAAACTCTTTTTGTGCATTAGGGCACCACTTCGAAAATCCTTTTTCATGGTAAAATAAACCAATAAACACTTATTTTTTACTCCAAACTGTGGAGCTCTGACTTCCTCATTGCACTATGAGGGTACATAGGCATGAGGTTTCAACACCAAGGCGAGCACCCTAATAAAAAACATCAATTTCCCTTTAGCAGATAAACCTTTAGATAAACGACATCCTTTCATGCATAAACAATCTAGATGGTTCTCGTTGAGTACAACGGATGTGAGGGGTGCGAATACCTTCCCCTTGTATAACGGACTTCTGAACCCGACATTGGTTGCGGCAACATGTCCTATCCTTTTCCTTTCATGGGTTTTATCGATATTTTCCATTTCCCTCTCTAGGGAATAAATAAAGTTCGGCGGGAAATCTCTGTTAGTCCATCCGCAAGCTTTCCTCGTGAGGTCGTATTTTTTCTGAGGTACGACAGGTTTTTGAGCTTGTTGCATGGAATTTATTGAAGTGGCAAGATGTCCAATATTTATCTGCAAAGTCTGAGTACTAGAATCTATTCGATGCTGAAATTGGAGACTATTTACAGTCATTTGCTTGACAAGTTCCTCTAGTGAAGGTCCGAAAGATGCAAACGTGGTTACTTGTGGAGGTTTATATGGTGGTGATAATGGTAACATCAATTGTTGTTGGCTAGGTTGTGGATTCTCATATCGAAGGTTTTAATAGTTTCTCCAGTTGGGATGATACCTATTAATGGATAGGTTAGAAGTGTTATTGTACTTGTACTAGTTGTTGCTCTAAAGGTTGTAGATGTTTCTTGCGTATGCTTGAGGCAAATCAAAATTTACACCTTCGTGCAAGGTAGGAGAAGTATCTGTTGGGTGTTCAGAAGAGGTGCAAATGCCACATAATCTTTTAGATTGAGTTTTCCCTACTGCTAGTTGTTTGACCAATGAAGCAAGCTCATCAATTATGGTTTCTAAAGCCTTGTTGGAAGGAGAAGATTAGGTTTCGTGCACTCTTTTTATTAGAACCACAATGTTGCTTCTGGTTGTGAATTATTGTGAGTTGAGTGACATGTTTTCGATTAGGGTCTTAGCTGCAGCTGGGGTATTATCAATAAGTGATTCACCACTGGCGGAATCTAAAATGTTTCTATCCATTGGTAACAACCCTTCGTAAAAGTACTGAATTAGCAATTATTTAGAAATCCGCTGTTGAGGACAAATCAACATTAACTGCTTGAATCTCCCCCAATATTCAGCCAATAACTCCATGTCAACCTGTCTAATACCACATATATCTTTTCTAATTAAAGAAACTATTGAGGCGGGGAAAAATATTTCTAGGAACACTCTTTTTAGATCATTCTAGCTTGTGACAAAATTCGGCTCAAAATAATACAACCAATCTTTTGCAGCTCCTTGAAGTGAGAACGAGAATGCTCTAAGCTTGATATGATCCTCTGTGATTCCTTCGGTTCTCAAAGGTGTAGAGCACACAACCTAGAATTCCTTCAAATGCTTATGCAGATCCTCACCTGTAAGACCATTAAACCTTGGTAACAAGTGTATTAAACTAAATTTCAATTCAAAAGGTACATCAATAACATGATATTCAATACATAAAGTATTATAATTCATATCAGGGGCAACAAGTTCTCTAAGAGTTCTTTGATGAGCCATGTTAAACTCAAGATCAAAATTAACAGAGAATGAGAAAACACAATAACTAACTCAGCAATGCAACAACAAATAACAAAATACCGACAATGTCCCTAATGAGAAAAACAATTGAAAAAATAAAAAACGATTAAAATAAAATATTTAAAAAAATATAGAAATATCACTAAAAATCAAATAAAATCAAAATAAGACTCTACAAAAAAATTTGGATTTTTTTTTGAAAATAGGAAAATAGAAAATAAATCATATAAAATAGGAAAAATAAAGAATTTGCGATTTTCAGGGTCAAAATCACTTTAAAGCCTCTTTTAGGAGAGTATTGTTTGTTGGTTTTTTCCTAATTTTTTGGAAAAAACTTCTAACAAGACTCTAATATTGGTTTAAATCAACAAGAATCTCCGACAACGATGCCAATTTGATCCGCTCTCGCGCACGGGTCAAAATCGAGTAATAACAAATCGTAGTTTAAGGAAGCGACACTCGAATATCGTATCACAAAGACATATTGAATTTTACCAACTGAAATGATGGGGGTTTTAAGGTTTAGGTTTCGAATAATATAACAGCAAAAAGGATTTGACTACGAATAAGCTAAAACGCACAATCCTACATATTTGGGTTCCGACTTATCACTAGCTATTATAACTCCAATCTCCTAAGTGGCTTCGATTCTATTCGATTATGTAATCAATTAGGCAAGCGCTATCAATATCATGTGAATTATCTTCCTCTTACCGCATTAAGCATGACAATTTAAAGATTAGCGGAAGCTAACAAATAAGTTAAGTTGACAAGCAATTAAAATTAGGAACATGCATGTAATCAAATTTAATCAAGTTTATCCTATGAGTAACAATTGAATTAAGCAAACAAATTTATAGACAAAATTGAATAAAAATCAAAATTGAATTGTGTGAGATCTTGGATCAAACTCTAATATGATCGAAGGGTAGCTTCTAGTTTGACAGGAATTAAGCATGAGGTCGAAGTCTATTCGCATGCTGCTGTCGGAGTAATGCGTGTTGTAGTTGAAGTTTGTTCTAACATGCATTAGTCAATATTGCTAGGTTGTTAGCATATTGGATTGAGCCTTACTTGTAAGTCCAAGTGTTTAAATTAGCTTGTACCCTAAGTTAGCTTGTAATAGGTAATTGTTAAAAAACACATTAGGTTAGTGTGCTGTTTTTCTTATAAATAGGATGATAGTTTCTCAATCTTGGTATAAGGAAAAATAGGAAGATAAAATCTTAATTTCAAGTGTGAGAAGTTATTTTGTTATTCTTGTATACTTGTAATCTTGTTCTAAGATAAAGGAAAGAATAACGGTTTATAACCAATCCTTGTTGTTTTACCTTATTTTCTTTGTTAACCCTAACCCTTGTGTGTTTTTTGATCATAAAGAAACCTTTTATACTTTGTTTAAAGACATCTGATTCACAGTAAATTGATGCGGTGAGCGTGGAGAAGATGCCTTCAAAAAAATATGAGATTGAAAAGTTCACCGGAGTGAACGAATTCGGTTTGTGGCGCTTGAAGATGAAAGTCTTACTGGTTCAGCAGGGTTGTTGGGAAACGTTGAAGGATGAGGCAGCCATGGACGCTGCGTTTTAGCTTATAGAAGAAAAGATGATAAACTATAATAAGTTAGAAGCTAAAACGCTATTTGAAATAATGTCTAGAAAATAAGCTACTATCTCCGTCCTAAATTATAAGACGTTTTGAGCATTTCACACAATTTAAAAAATGCAATTATTATTTTATGAAAAATTGAAATAATTTATGACTTTGACAAAACTGTCATTCATTAATTACATTGAAAAGCAGATTAAAGGAATAAAAAGAAGAAAGAGAAATAAATGATAAATGATATATTAGGAAAAAAATTATTAATGTTGTATTGAGATTCTAAAATGACTTATAATTTGAGACAAATATTTTTTACAAAATGACTTATAATTTAATACAAAGATAATATAAGCTAGTAAAATAAACTATAAATTCGTAATAAAAAAACTATTATAAAATAAATTTAAATTATTATATAAATTTATAAACTCTAAACTATAAGTTTGAAATTGTAATTTACCAAACAAATGCAAACACATCTTGAGCACACTATTCTAATAAAGAGATTAAAAATCTATTTAAAAAGTCAATTTAAGAAAGAGGTTTTGGATTAATAACCTACTATTTCTAATATTCAAATCTGATTTATTTTCCTTAAAAAAACCAAAACTGAATATAGCCCACAGAATATATATTAGCGTAATTTAGTTAATTTGCACAAGTTGTTATTTTGTTTGATATTTTTCTTTTAACTAGTCAAAAAGAAAGAATTATCTTTTAAAATTTTCCAAAAAACAGAATCATCTTTTAAATATAAAAAAAAACGGAATTGTCTTTTAAATAATAATAACGTAATTAAATCCTCAATAAAAAAACCGATTAATTAAAATATGATAAAAATCTGCACCGTTGATTCGAGTACTATATAAAGAGAGCTAGGTGAGATTTGCTGCCAAAAAACGCAAGCTAAGATTGTGCTGTGAATTTTGCGACGAAAAACCGAAAGATCGAAAAGAAAAGAGAATGGCGGCTACTGTATCTGCTTGGTCCAAACCTGGTGCATGGGCACTCGATTCTGAGGAACACGAAGCCGAACTCCTTCAAAGCCACAACAACGTTGAAACCAAACCGCTCGCTGAATTTCCTTCTCTCGCTGTTGCTGCCGCAACCAAGCCCAAAAAGAAGAAAGCCCAAACCCTAAGTTTGGCTGAGTTTACCGCCAAACCGGTTTCTTCTTTTACGCATCAAGATCCTGTGGTTCTTCCTACCGGTCCTCGTCAAAGGACCGCCGAGGAGATTGAAAGTGATAGGACTCGTCTCGGAGGAGGGTTTAGATCTTATGGGGACCGTCCCAATCGGGGTTCTGGTGGAGATGAGAGTTCTGTTTCGAGATGGGGTTCGTCTAGGGTTTCTAGTGAATTGAGGCGGAATGATTCGTTTGGTTCTAGGGATTCCAGTCGGGAGACGGCACCGTCTAGAGCGGATGAGATTGATAATTGGGCGGCTGCGAAGAAGCCGGCGGTTGGGAATGGGTTTGAGAGAAGGGATAGGGAAAGAGGGGAGAGAGGTGGGTTTTTTGATTCGCAGTCGCGTGCTGATGAATCTGATAGTTGGGTTTCAAGTAAGAGTTTTACTCCGTCGTCGGAGGGGAGGAGATTTGGCGGTGGTGGTGTTGGTGGAGGATTTGATAGGGAGAGGAAGGTAGGGTTTGGTACTAGCGGTGGTGCAGATTCGGATAATTGGAATAGGAAGAAAGGTGAATTTAGTGTTGGAAGTGAAAGAACCGAGACGGTTGCTGTTGGAAGGCCAAGGCTTGTTTTGCAACCGCGTTCGCCGTCTGCGAGTAATGAAAACCAGGATGTTCCCGCTGCTGGTGCTGTTTCTGGGATTGTGGCTAAGCCTAAGGGTGCAAATCCATTTGGTGAAGCTAGGCCAAGGGAGCAGGTTTTGGCAGAGAAAGGCCAGGATTGGAAGAAGATAGATGAACAACTTGAGAGCATGAAGATTAAGGAGACAGCAGTGGAAGGGTTTGGAAAGAGGGGTTTTGGTTCTGGCAATGGACGTGCGGAAGATCGATCTGAGAGGAGTTGGAGAAAATCCTCACCATCTGATGATGGTCGTTCAGAAAGGTTTGTAACCAATAAGGTTTTGAAACCAACATACTAGTAGTAGTAGTATGATTATTATTTTTTCATTATTTGTTCAATGAATATTCTTGTTACTGGCTTGGTTACCCTTTTATACTTATCATAAATTGGAGTGTTTCTGATTATAATAATTAGGTTTTTCATGATATACTTTGATATAATTCTGACACTGTCCTGCTACTAGCCAATAATCAGCTGGTAAGTTCACAAACAATTGGCTCCGATGTGCTCAGTGATGGTAGTTTTCAGTTTCTAAACTGTTGCTTCACTATTAACTTGTATGCCAAGCTTATTTTTTCTTCTAAATGTTACTTCATATAATACACATCATAAAACACATAAAAAACAATATGATTTATAAACTTAAACCTTGCAATATATGTTCTATCTCTTAGTTGCATCTAAACAATTTTTAGGGTACTGATGTTTTTAAGTGTTTCTTGCCAACATTTAATACTGCTAGAGTTGAACGTTCATAGGTTTCTGTACTTTTTGTCCTCTTTGTGAGGATGTTGTTGTTAAGTATTGATGCTGTTTCTTCTAGAGGACAAGATGTTATGTACTTTTTGTCCTCTTTGTGAGGATGTTGTTGTTAAGTATTGATGCTGTTTCTTCTAGAGGACAAGATGTTATTAGATTATGCGTCATTTAGCATATGCCTGATGCATTATCACAATACCATGTTTTAGAAGTATAAGACAATTTCTATATTTCTAATATCATACTTTGATAAATAATGGACTCACGGCTTGTGTTTATCAGCTTTCTTTTTACTAAAGAGGAAAACGTTAGGGCAACAGTTTGAGATGTTGCCACTTGACTACTGGGATGATATTTCCAGTATGTTGGACTTCTTCATGAATTAAGCAAGATCCAAATGCCAATGTTTATTTCCTATTCCACATACTAGCAGTGCTTTTGACTTATTTCCTATTCCACTTACTAACAATGCTTTTGACTTTGTGATGCAGTGCCGAGAAAGTGGAGGAAGAACACGTTGAAGAAAACTAAAGAGCATCATCATACGTTGAAGAAAACTAAAAAACTGGCATTGGAAAGGAACATGGAATGTTACAAACTTATTTTTTTGTTTCCTTTGAAGTTTTGTTTTTAGTTATGTTTTTATTGTGAGACACACAGCTAAAACTGGTAAAAGACATTTTTGATAGGTTTGTTGTTAGCTTAGGCAGTCTCAGTATTTATGGCTATGTCTGTAGCTGAATGTTACCGGAATTGGTTAAAATTTCATCCATTCATAATCTGTATAAGCTTTGGTATTTACGTGGTTTTCTGGTTCTCCTATGTTTGATTGACATCATTGATGTTCAACTCTAAAATATTTGTTTACATATCTTAGATATTCGTTCCATCCAGAGTAAAAAAAAATCGTTTTCTTTGGGATGCCTGAATGCTAAATCTTATGCATACCTTACACATTCAGATTGCCTCTTGTTAAGAGCAAGAGAGAGAGAGAATTTCGTTTGCTTGGGAATGTTATACGCACAATGAATGATAAAAAATGGGCTACATAACCTTCAATTTTGGATTATCATCGTACCAAGTAAAGCTGACAAAAATGTATGAAATTATTTAAAAACTAAAGTCTCATTAACTTTTACTTCAGCGGAAATATTTGAACTCACCATTTATTTAATCCTAATCCTTAGGACACAAGTTAAGAACACATTTATAGTAAGTTTGAAAACATCAATAAAAGATTAAATTTTATATTTTTATTAAAAGCAGTGCATAATTTTCAAAATTTTATTTATACTTTTAATTTTATCATTATCCTTTTTTAATTTAGAAAATAAAATCTCATTAATTTCAGCTAATAGGAAAGATGAAATATTTGAACTCACCATTTGTTAAAGAGAAGTTTTTTTAATGTTGTGAAGAATCGTGACATATTGGTGCGAGCTATTAAAAGATTTTGAGATAAGTTTGAGCTATTAAAAGATTTTGAGATAAGCTTGACCATAGAGTAAAGATTTTGAGATAAGTTTGAGTTAGAATAATACAGTAGGTATTTGATGTTAAGTGTTTGACCAAAAAGTTGGAGTTAGAATAATACAGCAAGTATTTGAATTTGATGTTAAGTTTTTAGGTTATACTTGATCATAAAGTTGGAGTTAGAATAATAGGTATTTGAATTTGATGTTAAGTTTTTAGGTTATACTTGATCATAAAGTTGGAGTTAGAATAATACAACAGGTATTTGATGTTAAGTTTTTATGTTATACGCAAACCACCATGATATAGCGTCATCAGCTCAACATGAAGGATGTTGCAATAATCAATATTAATCGCGAACCTAAACACCATTAGAAATTCACACCAATCTATAAAACTCGAGACGTCGGGATTATCGAGGCTACTGCTATCGACATTCAAAATCATATTGTTACCTTTGTGTGCATTCTACGTGATCGTTCTCGTTGGATGGAACATATTATGCTTAAGAACACATTTAGCTAACATATTAACATAATCATCGTGATGAGCTTTAATGTATAGGAAGATGCCACTTCACTCGCAAGACACAATTTGTTCCTAGCGCACTACAACCACCAACAAGCAGCCAAAAAGATAGAGCCAACATTGATGTCATAGCTAAACCAATCATATAAATTATCCCCTTGGAAGAATAGTGGGTTCAAGAAGTCAATAGATTTCCAAAAGTGAATAGAAAATTCATAGTCTCTCAACATCATGATTGTATTTAGGACAAAGATCTGCCTGGAACATACAACGATGACACAACATTGATCTCGTAGAAAAGGACTTATGTAAATTCATCCTAAGGAAGAATTTCACATTCTCAGGAGCAAGAATATGCCACACTCACTTCTAAGAGTTATTGTCTATTGTATTCTGAACAAATTCAAGTCTGTTGAGCTAGTTATAACAACCCCGAGCAGTATATATACCATCTAAATTGTCTTTCCAAGTTAACCAATTAAGAACCAAAGAATTCAATCAAACAAGAAATACTTCCAGGCAGTCACAAACAACCAGAAGAATATTTGTATATAATGAATTGAGATTTCAATTTCCATCCAAGTAAATATTATTCACTCATATTTCCAGATCATGGATATCCACAGAAGGAACATGCTCTTCTAATTTCCCGATCCGAGACCAATTGGAAACCAGAAAGAGGAGTTCTCATTCCCCAATCTAAATTCAAATCCATCTTTAAGAGATGAGTGAGGTTTCATAAATGCTTTCCAAGTAGCCTATTTCCTTTTCATATTAAGGAATGTTTCCTTACTGATGTACTTATGCTTCAAAACTTGAACCCATAGGGAATTACAATTCCGGTGGATACCTTAAACCAGCTTACCCAACAAAGAGGTATTGGCCTCTCTTACTTTTCGAATCCCAAGACCACCCATCTTTTTGGGCTTAGTGATTTTCCATCCAACGAGAAGCACACCAAATTTTGAATGAGCTTTTCATAAAAAATTCATAGTCTTCCTTTCAATAAAATCACAAGTTGGATGAGGTAGTCAAGCCACTTGCATATAATAATTTGCGATGAAGTTCAGAATAGACCTAACTAGAGTTAAATGGCCAACTTTGTTTAACAATTTATTCTGGCAAGATGATATCAAGGTGTCTGGTTGCGATTCAGTAAGTCTGTAAGGAAAAACAGTAACTCAACAACAATGCAATTTCCTATAAATCTACCAATTTTTAAATGTGAGAACTATGAAAGGTGAGCTATACAAATGAATGTCATCTTTAGATTTCAAGATGTGGCTGAAATTGTGTGTGATAGAGTGCCTACACTGAAAGTGAATGCAAGTGATGTTCAAAAGGTTGCGCACAAGGAACAAAGAAAGAAAAATGGAAAAGCTCTTTTCTTGATCAATTAATGTGTGGATCCTAATTTGTTTGAGAAGATTATTGAAGAAGAGACGTCAAAGGAGGCGTGGGATAAGTTAAACAGCTTGTATGATGGAGATGAAAAATTGAAGAGGGTGAAGTTGCAGACGTTGAAAAACCAGTTTGAGATAACAAAGATGAAAGAAGATTAATTAGTTTCTGATTTCTTCTCAAAACCAATGTTACTCACCAACCAAATGAAGGCGTGTGGTGATTCAATCAATGATTTTCAAAATACCAAGAACGTGTTGTGGTATTTAACCGCAAGCTTTGAGTACATTGTAGTTGTTGCAGTGAGAATTGGATACCAAGTTATTGATTAACTCAAATCGCAAATCATTATTCACCATCGTTCTTTAACTTATCCAAGGGAAGGGTAAAAAATCGAAATAACCCATGAGTATGCAATGCAAATGCAAAGCTAGAGAATCTAAGGTTCGGGGGTTGGTTATACCTAGGAAATGTGATAGCATCCTAAGTATCTGTATTACTTTATAGGAACCTCTTGTTTTAACTGTGTTATTGTTGTTTGCTAAGGGTAAGAGACCTAGGGGTTTATTTCTAAGTATACTCGCCAAGAAATCGCATCTTGTGCCTACGTATCCTGACGGGAATGGAATCAGAGTATTCGTAGTTCCCCTAAAGGGATTGAGAAACTCCTGACTATGTCCAAGGTTCCAAGGGGAGAAGGTTTGTTAATTGATTCTAGGAGAAAATACCAGTCATCATCTTAGGGAGAATACTCGACCTTAACCACCACAAACCTATAGGAATCGGTCTTTACGTCGCATTGAGAGAAGGGCTCCAACTCGGATATATAGTCAACGAACATGCCACATACCTCTCTCAAGCGGAAAATATACTACATCTTTCTCGATTATGTTATAGGGTAGGAGAATTATATCTCGACTACATAGATGAATCACGTCTAATTCTCTTGTTGGAGAATGTGGGATTTAATTGTGAGTTATCTAAGTTGAAAACTTAATGGGTAGCTTATGTTGAGAATAAGGATGACCTAAGTTGATCGACCTGAAAAAATCAGGGGTCAAGCAAGGGAAATGATGCAAACTGAAAATGAAATGTATACGACTTATGAGGCCATATACAGGTTCTTCCCTTGGACGTGTAACATACAAGCATATTACCAGGCAGATTAATCAAGCACTTTAGTTTTAATTTGAAGATTCAACAAACAAAGCGTGTATTATAACTAATTTAAAGTGAAATAATAGGAGAGGCCAGGTCAGACGTAGATGGCAGGTGAAGGTGTCCACTCACATAAAGATATAGTAGAGATTGATATGAATCACGAATAAGGTTCTCTAATTAGATGGGTTCAAGTAGTTGTCAATATTATCCAATAATAATTTTGATAGTGTAATAGAAAGAAGGAATGAGGATTGTAAGTACGTGGTTAAACTTTAATGAGAGTAATTGTAAAATTTGAGTTCTAAATTTAATTAACGTCTAAAAATCAAAAGCCAATTTTGTTTTAAATGTAAGAGGAATAAGTATGTTAAATTAAAAATGAAAAGTAAAAAATAAAATAAAAAAACTAAACAAAGCTTAATCCATATAATACATTTTAATTTTTGAAAATTAAATGAGTTTCCTTGTTACTAAAAATTAAAATGAAAGAAAAGAGTTAACAAAAAAACTAAATGGATCAAAACGCAGCAAAATGCAATGCAAACCAAGAAGAAAGGGCTACCGTAGACCCTTAGTCAACTCGCAGTGGGGGAATATATGATCTGAATGAGTCAACGATTGACCCTAATCATGGACGGAATGGTGAAGATACATACTGATACCTGGTAGAGGTGCATGCATGGAATCAAAACGCCATATAAACTCAAGAAAACGGAAATGAAACTCAGACTCCCCTTGCCTTTTCTCCTTTCATCTTCCCTTGTTCTAATCTTGCACATAACTCATTAAGTCAACGTCCTCATTCTAGAGGGGCAACACCATGATAACTTGAAGGGGCCAAGGAGGTGGTTCTCTTTGTGGGTGTTCAATCAAGTTCAATAGTGGTCTGGGCGTCCAAATTTATAGGGTTACAAGGTTAATCATATTTATGCTTTTGACCTTAAGTATGAGATGTCATCCCTCGGTTA